TGAGCTTTCCTCCACGGTCTCGCCTGTTTCTCGGGGGTGCTTATAGGTCCCATGGCTTCCATCGGTATTCCCGTAGACCTTTCTCAGCACAGACGATAACCGCCGACTAAAGTCATCGTTCCACGCATCGATTTTGCTTATATGACCTTGCAAAAGGAAGTAGTAACGTATAATCATGCTAAGCATTCGCTTCTTGGTCTTCGTTCCATCTGTGAAGTATTTGAACGGAACGATGAGAGGCTTCGTCATGGCTTCATCTCCGGTAATTGATGGTAGCGTCGAGGTCGCGCGGTCATCGCCAATGGATCTGAGGCAGTAGCGAACCTCCCAACCACCGCCGGATGGCAGCAGATAAGTCAGCACGTTGCGGTTGCCTACGTTTCCGATCAACAGACTTGGGGATTCCGCCTCATCCAGTGCATTTTCAATCCAGGTCAGGGAATCCGCTGGTGGCAGTGCATCCATGCAGGAGTCGGCGCCGGCCTTGGCCATTAGCTTTCGAATTGTCTGGAGGGACATTTTCCGGTTTTTGTGGAAGGTGATAAGTCGCCGAGGATAGCCGTCTGTGTCGCGTTCCAGCGCATCCGATGTCTGGTCAATTGTTTGTCAAGGATCACGGGCCTTGTTGCCAGCAAGTCGCGCGATGATGTTGGCGCGTCTGAGCTACAACGCGTCGCCGGAGGCTCGACCCCCTGCACTCAAGATATATGACAAAGCATGCGGAGAAGTCTGGTGCATACTACTCTGGACTACAGCAAGATATATCGCAATGGACGGGGTATTGATGATAAGGCTAAGAAGATGCAGGTCGCAGGAGCGTTGCTTGTTCCGGGAAGGATCAGGCGGTCCACTGCCGCTAGCGGGAACACGTGCACGTGCACTGGAGTCCTCGCGTGCGACACCTTCTATGGTGTTCGCAAATGATGTCTCAATCGTGTATTCACGCGTTTATTGTGACAGTGTATGAAGCTCTGAAAATCCGCTCCCCGTCCTTATCAGCTTTTAGGTATTGAAATACTTATATATATCATTTAAATTTGAAATCTCCCATCGAACAGCACACATGGCTGAGAGTGAGCCGTCTCTGGCGACACTACCACTGATTCAAAAAGCTCTCTATCGGCTCGTCAGTTCGATACCCCTTAAATGCAGTCTTATGGGGACACTTCCACTAGGCTTCATTTTTTTTTGCTCTTTTTGATTCCACGAGGTGCACTTTCACCTTCACTTTTAAGGCCGAATGCGGCAATGATGTCACACTGCAAACGCAACGCACAGTGACCTCGAATTGAGCTTTGCTAGCTCTATCTTTTTGGCCTTTAACCTCAGATTCTTACATCCCTTTACCACCTACATATCCTCCACAATGGCTCAAAACATAGAGTCACAACCCCCCGGCGCCTACATGTACGACGAGATCGACGCGCTCGCGCAGAAACACTTCCCCGACGTCTACAACGCGCTCCTCGACGTCGACGACGTGCCCTGGGAGCGGCCTGACTACGACAGAGTCGGCTTCTCCTCACACTCGCTCTTCCTGGGCAACGTTGTCCTCGACAACATCACGTACAAAGCCTCGGCATATATGACAAGCCAAGGAAACATCCAGTTCTTCCGCCGCAACATCAGTCTTTCGCGACGCGATAACGAACGCCTTTCCCTGGTCAGTCTATGGGCATTTCTGGACGAGAATTCTGAGCGCCCAAGCATGGATAATCTGAAGGCATTGTGCGGTTTCTACTTCGTTGCTGCCGGATATGCCGAGGTGGTGAATGCGAAAAAGGGTTGGTTCCGAGATTTGAAGATGGCTTGCACAAAGGTCGGTCTCGGTCTTGGAGCATTGGTCGATGAGCCTGCGGTTTCTGGCCTGGGTGGAGAGGCGGAAAGGAACGTTGAGAGGGCCCTGAGTTCGCACGATGGCGACGTCGAAGACAACGGGGATTCTGGAGACGAGACGGACGTCACGGTGGGGCCGGAGATGAGGGGCCTGGGTGCTGGAGTTGACGAAGTCAAGGTTGCACACATCCTGCAACGGCTCTTAATAGTAGTCAAGACCAAGCAGGAGAGCTGGGGCGAGCAGATTGAGGCGGAACTGAAGTGGGCTTGGCCAAACTACAAGAAGTACTGGAGATAGGAACAAAGCCGGGTTGAGACTTGAGGGATAAGAATACCGCTAGAACGCTAAAAATGATGAGACTACTGAGCTACTGCTGTTGCTCCTTGCACCTTTGCTGCTTGGTCCATTTACTGAACTTGTCCTTCTTCCACCCGCTTTTCCAGGTGAGTGTGACCCTCTCTCCATCGATGTTTAACTTCTGTGGCTCCTTGTGTGTTCCAAAGCGTATACTGCTGCTAAGGTGGCATTTAGTCGGCGGGTTCTCGTTCCAATTCCTCTGATTAACCGAGGAGTAGGACCACTGGACGCAGTATTTGCTGTTGTCGCAAGACTCTTGGCATGCCTCTGGCGACGCTTCTCCGTTCCCAGCGCGGTCCGCGTCCTGATGTTCGCCGCCTTGGAAAAGGATGTTCCATCGGTTGTTCGAGGACTCGGAGGATAAGTTGTCCCAATCATTGCGTGTGTAATTCAAGTCTTCCGGGGTCATGAAGCGGTACCATAGATCTGCAAAGCGCAGCGTGGGCTGGTCCGAGGGTCGGTCCTTCTCCAATCTGAGCAGATCACTGCCGATGTCCGGTGTAATGTGGTGCATCAGCAGGATAGGCTCGCACCATATGGCGGGCGAGAAAGGCACCGTGCTTGGGTCGAATCCAGAGATGCTGGGCCAGACTGTGGTAAAGGTGATTTTCACCTCGGCCTGCAGCGCGCTGGCGACGAGGTCGAAAGCTGTCGTGTGGTCCGCGATCTGCTCCCGCCAGTTCTGGATAAAGTCTTTGCGCTTCTTGAACAGCTCCAGCATGACTCCTCGCGAGAGGATGAACGACGTGCCTCCGGCGGCGAAGGGATCGGGAACGCGCGCCGTCGCTGGGGCAGGTGGGTTGCCAAAGAAGTGCTTCGCGTCTGGGTCGTGTTGACTCAGCCAATCGAGTAGGTTCGGCCTGTTGACGTACGTCTCATCGCCAGCGAAGACATACCAGCTGCGGTCTGGTCTGTACTCCCACGCAGACGCCATCGTCTCCAGTATCTTGTACTTGTCCAGTATCTCCATCTCCCTCTTTTCTTCTTCCGGGTCCTCCTTCTTCAACTTGGCCAGGGGTATGCTCCTCCGCGCATAGTCGACCTGAGCGCGGTATCGCTCCAGCTGCTTCGTCTTCTGTATGAAGTCGGATTTGTAGCGCCAGATGACGTCGAAGACGGGCCATCTTCCGATCTGCGTTTGTAGGTCCGAAAACAGCAGGAGCGTGCCATGGTCTTGTTCGTTGGTGTTGAGGATGAGAGGCGTGACTTTGTTGTAGACGTCGTTTGCGGTCGTGGTGACGGCGACGACGAGCTGGTCATGGTCGACTTGGTGCGGGCCGAGGTTCGACTCTTGCTGCGGGCGCTTGCTCGGCGGAAGCTCTTCGTCGTCGTAGGTGCGCGGCCAGCCCTTGACCCAGAAGAAGGCGTATATGAGGATGACGCTGAAAACGAGGCGGGCCGGGCGCGGCATGTGCTTCCGGTAGGACGACATGGTCGCTAGCGTTTGCTGTGTGGCATCTGTCGGGTTAGTAGCTAGAGGAGGGAACAGAGATCAAGATCGAAGATGGCCACAACGTGTTTCACCCCATCGCAATGGCCCGATCCATGTTTGAGAAAAAGCGCGTTGCGAACGTCCGCCCGCATTCAGGGGAGCCTAGGCCCGACCGAGACGCGTGGAACAGCCCTGGTGTGGCGCGGCCTCGTATTGCTGAGGGACACGCGTCGCGGGGGCATCAGTGGAGCATGGCTTTGAGACCTACATTTACAGCATCGACAATACATTCCCCTTCCAAGACGCGAACTACATAGTGCAACGGCGAGAGACGCCGCATGAGGCGTTCCTGCCCTCTTGGCGATGCATCGGAGGAACAGCTAGCAATCTCCGACGATCACCAGATCGCCGCTACGACTCCCTGCGTCTACCATCCCTCTCTTCCTCGTCACATTCCATCAGCTCCGTCACTCAGTATAGCTTCAGCAGCCCAAACTGCCAATGATTCCGAGGTCACGATGTGTATACGGTACGCTCACAACAGCTGGCCCGTATATCCGATCACACCGAAGCGAGCACCTTCCCCTCACCTGGACCTGTTCGGTGGTCTCTATAAAGTGCATGATGGAAGATCTTGTGGAGTATTGAAGAAAATAAACTCCCAAGCAGTGATGAATTTAAGACGCGATGCAACAGGTGGTGATCATATGGAAGGAACCGATGCTGACCTCGTAGCCACTCACCTCGATAAGGCAAACCATCAAGCAGATATATACGTCCGCCTGCGTCAATACAATGTATCAGGAAAACCGAATGCCAAAGTAGTCAGCAACTCACTCAATGGTGACGGCGATCGGTTGCTGGTTTCCGCGGCAGGCACACAGTATCTGCTTGCTGTGAATGTGTCACTGTTTACTCGACGCATCCACTTCAGTGTAGCAAACTGCGAGCCAATCTCTAAGGTGGTTATAAGCCCTCGAATTAGGCCTTTTTTCTGTAGCCCGTATAGATATGCTAAAACGGAGTTAAGTACTCCATCATTCATTGACCTCCCTGCGATTTCACTGCCTTGGGCTAGAGATTGTGGCAGGTCAGACTACTAGGGCCATACCTAATGAGGCTTGAGCGTGTAAGTACTCCAATCACCCTTCCAGCACATGTATATTCATTAACGCGGTTATCAGCTGCCTTCGATCTAACATGGTGTGACACAGCGATTGTTTGCGCGCATTGCCCAACTGCGGATTGGGATATCGCGCCACGCAAGAAACTATAGCTGCCAATGTCACGCTCTCCTCTATATATCGACCTCTCGAAACCATTCAACTATATTTCCAACCCGGGCCGTCTACCAGTCTTTCAAGTCCAGTCAAGATGTCAAACCAGAACTCGGAGTCGACAAATTGCGCAGATGAGCGCCCAGCATGGCAGGAGGAAGGTTTCAATTCCCATCAAGAATGGCAAGACTGGCTAAACGAATCCGAAGCCACCGATAATGCATACGACGCCCAAGCGGAGGCGCCACCGCCTGATGATAGCGATGACGATGAAGGCTTTGGCGAGGAGTTTGTTAGCGAGCAAAGTTCACAGGACGAAGATGACGACGACGAGGAATCAGAAAACGATAAGCCTGGAGAGAACGCCGAGCCTGAAGACGACAGCAATCCCGAAGACCATTCCGAGGCTGCAGGCAGCCGCGAGCCTGGAGTAAGCAACACCCCAAACGTCGACGAGGCTGCGCTCATTTCTATTTACGGCTTCGGTAAGTACTCGAATAACCTTTGCAAGACGCGATCTAACGCAATGGGTAGCCCACAACAAGAACAAAGACTATGCCCTCGTTGAGCAGTCAGCTCGTGGAGCCCTCAACGCTATAACCATAGCTCTTCAAGACATCATCAACAGGAGCCAGGCGCGACAAGGTAACCCAGAGAGCCTTGCAAAAGAGATCGAGAGTGCCTTTGCCACGACTTTACCTACGTATTTAAGCGTCCAGGCAGTGCTCCAAGGTGGACCACAAGTCAGTCTTTCTCGAATGAATATGAGAGTGCCCAGCTGACTCGGTTCACAGGCTGTCGGGCGGCCAATTCCCCTCAGTGCCCTTCCTCCGCAGAGTAATCAACCCTTGATCGGCACCTCTACCGCCGTGTCTGTCCCGCCCTCTCCGCCTCCGCCTCCGCCTCCCCCGCCACCTTCAACGGCCAGTGGTGTCGGAGCCTTCACCACTGCAAGAGATGTACGTTGCATCCCTCTAGCTAGCGTTTTCGCGATACTGACATTGTATAGGATAGCAGCGCTTCCCAAGAAGAAGGTGCTGACAGCGACGATGAAGAGGATGTTCAAGACATTACAACGCCGTCACGCCGAATCAAGCAATTCAGGCACCAGTAACTAGATGGGATTATTCATATAAGAAGTTTGGCGATTGAAACGCATAGTGATGAGAAGAGAGTTTGCATATTGGCCTAATTTGGAGAATCACTTTCACCAGGAAAGGAATTGTTGAAACTTTTCACTTAGGCTTCGTATATTTGATTGACTCTCTCGCAATCTCAGCGCTCTGCAACCTTTGCAACCTCAACGCCGCCGGAACCTCTTCAACATCATCATGTCTCGTGCCACAGCGGCTACTGATGCTGACATCAATGTCACAGGTCTAGGTCAAGGCCCCGTGGTACTTCCAATCCGAGCGCCTTCGCTCGCCATCTCGTCTTCCGTTTCGCCTGCTCAGGCACATCCCATCAAGCACTACGGCAGGGATGCGAAAACCTTCAAGGCCGCCGACCTCCGCTTCGATGACGGCTCGTTCAACAAGCCTGGCACAAAGGCCTACTACAAGAGCTTTGGTTTCCGCGAGAAGACAACAAGAACCAGCGATCAGAAGATGGCCGGAGAGAGGAACGAGAAGCAGTCACTCGTCATGATCTTCAGCAGAAATGCTGTCAGGCGATCTGCCCTGACGGGATCTGTCGCAAACAGAGCTCGGAAGCTGAGCAAGAGGCAGTAAGCGTGCTATTTTGATCCAATTGGGTGAGTCTAATATCTCCATAGGAAGTTCATGCGCAAGGTCAACGACGACGAAAAGTTCTTCAAGTGGGACTGAGTGCCTGCAAAGGAGGCGGAGTACGGGCAAGAGACAACGAGTCCGACTTCCGCTCCGGGAACGAGGCCTGACGTCATGAAAGACCTGAGAAGTGGCTATTGGGCGGCGAGTGTTGATGTCTGTTCTTGCCCTGTTCTGCGGCGATGGTTGAACGTAAGAACCGTCACTGCTCCCATACTCATATCCTAGTACTGCGCGTTTGTTCTGCAGTCACGTTCATCAAGAAACGCACGCGATCACAAAGTAGTATCACTCACTTTCTAGGCCCTATAAAGTCTTGTTGCCTAGCTGTGTGTCATAACCTCCGCCTACTAACACCCTTCTCTTTCTCTTCCACCCCTAAGTTTGCTCTACTATACTACATCCCTAATGCCTAAAGCATTCAGCATTCCACATGACTCAGGTGGTCGCCGTACTCCACCAAATCCCCCACCGACCAGGAAAACCGGCCTCTCTATGAGCGATTTCCAGTATCAAGGTCCTCTAGAAGACGATCCCGCTACCACCATAGCCCGTGGTCTCCGCGAGAAACGACTACGATTCACCAAAAAGATACCAAACGATCACGACAGCGATATCTGCTCACCAAGAGACCGCCGCAGTGCCCTTTCCGTATTCGACGAAGCCGTCGAAAAGATCTGCGAAGACAACCGCCTGGAAGTAACTACCGAGGCCGACTACAAGATCAGGGTGATTTTAGGGATCACCAAAGCGCAACCTTCTGCATCGGTGTTCCAAAATAAGCAACAACTCTCGCCCATAGACCCCCAGTATGCCGAGCCTCGTATCGAATGGCACGACGATCCATACAGCTATCACTCAACTTGGCGGTTGCAGCACTGGCGCAAAGACGGTTGGCCCGATTCGTTTCCTGAGAGAGCCATTCAGAAAGAGCGAACTATGCAAGGGGAGCCCAGATCTTGGAAAGATCAAGAATGGGCTGAGCCTGGAGGACTGAGTTGAGAGTCGGTAATCGGAGCGGAGATGATCGTGTTTGAGAATTACAAGCAGCAGACGTAGCCATCCCGGACCTCCACTTGCTGGGGAATCATCTAGGTAAACAGGCCTCGTGTATTGAACTAGATGAACGAGATGAACGTCTGACGTTTTGTTGAGATGCACTCGCAGAATCTCTTGAATCCCGATTCCTCCAATTCCTCCAAATCATAGTAAGCGTTAATGTGACTGGACTTATGCTGGGTAGCTAACGTATCTTCTCGAGCTGTTTCACACCCATTGTTGCCCTAGGGGTTAGCACTGTGCAATTACAGAGTAGGTACGCGTGTGAATGAATCCCCATACCATTCGTCCTGAAAAGTACAGATTTCATGTTCTAAAATCTTGTTCCTCAGTAAGAACTCACAACTACCAGCCAAACATGCCCCATTTAAAAGAAGGTACTTCGCTATGGCGAGCTATAAAGGAAAGGGCAAATAATCAGACTGAACTAGGCCATCCGGCTTCGACGTCGATGGTACAGGTGGCTACTGCTAAAGAAACGTTCGCTTTACCCGAACAACAAGATGCCAATTCTTCAGATACGTCCACGACTCATATTTCACAACGTGTAACGAGATCTGGGAGCGGCCACGGTGGAACTTCCCCATGGGTCCGCCGTACTACGCGCAATGTGAATCAGGTTTCTCGGGATCAAGTTCTAACCGAAGAGGAACAGCTGGAGGCTGCTTTGGCTGAATCTCTGGTACAAGACTCTGCAACGCCCGCCCAGGAACGCCCAGTAAAGCAGACACGGAAGAGGCCCTCAAAGTCCAAGGGTCTCCTGACTTCGCGGAAAGCGCAGGAAGCATTACCTCGACTCCCTGGACAACACACTGCTCTGAAGCTGCCAAAGTTAAGAATTACAAACGACAGGATATGGGTTGTAAGGGAAGTAGACAGCCTATCGCAATCGCTGGATACTGACGAACCATTGGATGCTTTCGATCTTGAGCAAGCTAAGGACCTCGAACGTCAACGGCAACTCCTATATTTAGCCGAGGTCGAGCGACAGGAAGGCTACATACACCCTGTTCAAGGTGAGCAAGAAAGCGCTATGCGCAGCACACTTGCTAATGATGTGGATAACGATGACTTCACTGCTGCATTCATCCTAAGGGAGATGGCAAACAGTGACATCAGTGCTAATCCCGAGAGCATGGATTTTGTCGAGAGACTCATGAATCCATCCGCTCCTGGAGGGACTTTGGAGTCGACTAACTCGGCTAAGAAAGAAACCTCGCGTGAGGTCATACCCCTTCGTCGTTCGACACCAAATAAAACTGCCGCTGCTCTTGGAGCTGGGAAATCGTCCTCAAAGGCTATCGAATCTGAGCAACCAGCACCAGAGCCCTTAAAATTGGATGAGGGCGAAGGTTTCATGCCATCCGCGGCAAACGACTTCAAGCTCAAGTATGATAGCCCCTCCGGACGTCGAGCGGAGGAGCTTGATGCACTAATGAAGCCTCCGAGCCGTCCAAAGACCTTTCCAGCTGATCTTGCTGGTGAGAAGACTTTCGGCCATAAGAGCTACAGAGGTTTCGGTACTAGGCCGAAGGATGATGCCGCACACAAGATGGTCGAAGAGATGGAACTCGAACATGCGCGAGCACAACAAGACGTAGAGATGGCTATGGAGGAGGAAGACAGGTGGGACGAGCTTTGGGGCGTTGAGGAATGGAAGGAGTAGACCTTTCTGAGAGACGAGAAGATGCTCAAGTACTGCTAGAGAAATTGTATGTGTACACACCTTTGTGAATCTAGTAAGCGAGTACTCAATTCACGCACTAAAAACTAGGCAGCTATCCACTACAGATAATCTTCCATCAATTGCCCATTCACGCTGTGTTCAGTGATCTGCCTGACTGTGGCGGGAATATAACCCGTGGTAAGCCGAGACAAACTTTGTAATGTAATTGCTTGAACAGCCATATTCTCTCCGCCACTTTGACTCGGCTAGCCCTCAATGAACATAGAGCACTTCCATTCGATCTACAAAGCTGGCGAGATGTCGAATAATCCACTAAAAACTCCCACTATCACGATCTCAAATCGCTGTCAGCAAGACACCGCTGCTGTTACCAGGCCTCATCAAAGTTTAAGTCGCATGGGATGGGTTGATCACCGCATTAGTAGGCCTGATCGAACAGGCGAACGTCACACCGAGCAAGAGCAAGAGGTAGCGAGGACCATGCTAACATTGAGACAACTGGTTTTGTTCTCTACAAAGGCGCATGCAACAGACATCCCCCTCAATATGAGCGGGCCTGTTATAATCCATGACAGCGACGGTGAGCGGACGATCACTGCAGGACCGACCCCGGATACGACATCAGCGCCCCATGCTGTAGCATCTGCGAGAATTGCTATGATGTCAGTGCCAGGCAGCAATGTCAGTACGACGAATATTCCCGCCACTGAGGATGTAACTATTCCAGCTGTGCGGAAGATCACACTAGAGGAGTACATTAGATTGAGAAAAGCGAGGAAAGATAGGGAAGCACATGAGAATGCTTGACCTCGGACAGTGAGGTAAGTCCGGGTATGGTATAGGACTACGTAGTGTACTTATCATCTACACAGCTCGGGTATCCTGATCCTGAGGCCGACATGTAGTCGCCAACGCCATCCACCAGCGTACTATGCACCACCCTTGGCTAGAGCGGCTGCCTTACGCTCGCGCTTCTCACGACGGACGCGGGCCGTGCGACGAGTCTTCGTCTCCCCGGCGATTATCCTGCTTCTCCGAGGTGTTGCGGAAAGAGGCGCGGAGGGTGCAGGGGAGTTGGCGACGTAGTCGCTCGCCCACTTCGACAGCATCGGACCTGGCATGGTCGGAGGCAAGCCCTTGACGAGGATGGGGCTGCCATCCGCCAATGCCCTGACCCTCTTGTCCATGAACCCGTTGAGGCGGTCGTACAGACGGGATGCTGCGACCCCGGCCCACCACCACCCAACTGTGTTCACCGACAGCTCGTGCTGCAGGTCCCAGATGTCCTGGTTCAGACCGCGGAACAGCAGGTCGAAGTCGCTTCGGTCCTTCTCAGTGGACTCGCCTGGAACTTTATGTTAGTGTGCGGACAAGGCAAATGTCGAATACTCAGAGAATGCGCACCGTACAACACCGCGAAGGTGGCCTCGATCTCGTTCTGGGCCAGAAACGACTGCCCTCCGCTGAGGCGGAACTGCTTGTGAAGTTGGGATGCTAGATCCATCATGATGATATCGGATCGGCGAGGCGAGAGTCTGAAGATGATCAGATTAGTATGTGAGCGTCAAAAATTTTGAGAAATTTTGAGGCAGGCGTGAGGTTGTTGTGGAGGTCGCTTGACGACGCGCAAGTCGCAAAGGCAGAGTTCTCTCTCTTCACCTGGGCACGTCCCCATGGTAACCGCCAGTTTCGTTTGCATTCTGTGCTGCTCGGTCTGAGCTCGTCGCTACATCTTTCCGTTATCTGTTCTTCTATCAGTGCCATGCACAATACAATGTCATGCTGCTAGTTGATTGCAACATTCAGGCACGCTACGTACTGAACTTTGATGAGCTCATTGTTCACTGTATGTGCGGTTTTGACAACCTTGGAAGTCTTGCAAGTAGCAAACATGTTGACCCTACCCTCATACATAACCTTGTTTCTCCTTAGATCAACAAGCTTCATAATCTTATTGAAGAGGTGTAAGATCTACACAAGCTTGTTCAGATGGCGGCCTTCACCCAACCTACTCCACCGATTGACTTTAGACGAGATATAGAAGCTTTCAATCTTTACCACGAAAAATGCACTACCAAACCTATCAAAGAGACCGTTGCGCACCTCCTCTACGCTCTGGACAATACAGAACCCATCGTAGACCGCACCAGTACTGTTTACACAATATTTCGTAATGCGATGGTGGTCTGGAAGACAAGGATCGATAAGAAGCACGACGCCGACGCGAATCGATGGTACTTTCACAGGATGAGGAGAGAGTTCAGGGCAGTAGAACATGTGCTCTACGGTACTACCAGCGACTCGGATAGTGACGGTGAAGGCGATACGAACGACGAGAATTCCGAAGATGAGGACCAAGACGATGAGAGCCCTGAAGATGCCGGATCTGAAGTGGACTCAGAAAAAGACGATTCTGATGTAGCCCAGTCTGCAAGTTCGACTGATACCCACACAGACATTTCAACGCGCATCGACGAAGCGAAGGATAACACTGTGGCTGAGAAAACCCCAGACATGCCTTCACCCAAGACCAAAACGAAGCCGTCTGCACGAACTACGCGTTTCAGCCAACGGCTCAAAGATCTCGACGCTCTCAGAGCACGAGAAAAAGAGAACATGCATCACAGCCCAAGGCGAGAGAAAGGCAAAGAGTTCAAAGGAGGACCTGTCGACCCAGAGCAAGCGCATCTAGACATCGGTGAAAGAGAGCTAGCTGATCATGACGAAGAAGTCGTACTAGCCGAACTGGAGAGTAATGTACGAGGCGCGGCCTAGAAGAGAATGGAAGAAGCTGAGACTGACCTGTGAAATACTAAATGCTTTGCTAATGTTCACTATTCACACGGTTGCTGCAGCGGGATTATCGGCATTGCGATACTCGAGATCATAGCTTCGCTTTTACTCATTGGCGACTCATTAGTAGTAACGACCGAAAATATTTTGCCCAGGTGTTCTCATTTCAAATGTGACGCGGCCACCAGAATGACGTAGCAATGCCATGTGGGCATCGCCCATGACCTTAGCGTCACGTGACTATGCTCTACCACCCAACCACTTCCAGGTGTACTTGCTTTCACCCGTGATGCGCTTGCTGTAGTACCTGGAGAAAAGAAGAGGAGCAAGTACAGAAAAGAGAGAAGGCAGTAATGACGACGTTGAAGATTGGGATGACGGGTGGCGTGGGCTTGGTTGAGCTTGCCGTGGCGCGGCGAATGGAAGTGTCGTAGCGTCAAGACCTGAGTACCGCCACCAACCTTGGTATGCTTGTTGCGACTATCGCATTGCCGACGTTAGCGTGTCTCCGTTCTTGTTCTTTGATGATGATTAAATGGACGCACTCTGCGAGAAAATCTATCACCAAAGGCAAAGGAATGGTTGCACATGAACATTAGGTAGTTGGCATAATCGTGGACGCGAAACTTATTTAGATTCACCGGAGCAACGATAGCTTCGGGCGCATACTCTATGTAGCGAAGAGTGATAGACAGCGTCGAACTATTGACAGGACACGGCCTAAGCAGTGCGCTCGATGGTGGTGGTCTCCATCTTGCCGTGCTCGGTAACCGTTCCGTCGTCGTGGCCGTGGTTGACGGTCTTCTCGACAGCCCTGACAGCCTCGTCGGCAAACTCCTTGTCTTCGAACACTGTGAAGATGTAAGTGATAGATCGATAGAAGTCGTCTTTGTTATATACTTACAGAAAGCAAGCTCCTCGAGCGTGCGGTTGTACGTCTCAGGGTACATGAGGTAGACGAAGCAGAACTCGAATGTGATCCATCCGCAGTAAATGGCAAAGTACTTCCACTGAATCGCGTCAAGAGCGATAGGGTTGACGTAGACGGAGAAGAATCCGGCGAGCTTGCCGAACATTTGCTCGACACCGATACCCATGGTACGCTGGGCGTAGGGGAAGAGTTCGACGAGGTAGGTGTATGTGAGCGAGTTGTTACCGATGTTGTAGCAGGGCGAGTATGCGAAGAAGAAGACGAGCGAGGCGATTTGCGCAGCCTGGTTCTTGGTGCCGTTGGCATCGGCGACTTGGAGACGCTGGAAAGCGATGGTCATAGCCATGAAGACCATGGTCATGGATCCAGCGGAAAGCATGAACATCCAGCGACGGCGGAATCGAGTGACGACGAGAGCGATAGTGACACCGTTGATCAAACTCCAGCATTGGTTGGCGATGTTGATGCGCGTCTTGGCGTACTTGGTAGTGTATCCCATCATCTTGAAAAGAAGATTTTGGTAGTACGAGATCAAAGTGTTTCCGCTCATCTGGGTGAAGAGACCGAGGAAGCAAGAGATGAAGACACGGCGTCGCATACCAGGTGTACGAACCATGTCCATCCACGAGCGGCTTGAGTTCTCCATCTCAAGTTTGATTGTGGATCGGATCTGGGCCATCTCGGCTTGTACGAGGATGGAGTTGGCGTCGCCTTCGGCATGGTATTTGGTCAAAACAGCGAAAGCTTCATCGTCGCGATCACGGCTGACAAGCCAACGTGGGCTCTCAGGTAGCAAGCTAGTAAAGTCAGTGTGGAACTCTAAACTCGTTCGGAGGAACGTACAAAACAGTGCAAATTTGGAGGATGGACGGGCAGATCTGCAGCAGAGATGGTGCTCGCCAGCCCCAGTTTCCAACCATCTCCGTTGTCTTGATTGAGATGGCAGCGGCAAGGATGGATCCGATGAAGTAAGATGCGTTGAAGAGCGAGGTCATGAATGGGCGTTCCTTGGGGTAAGCCAACTCTCCGATCAGGGAAGAACCGGAGACGATGGCGAAGAGGATACCGAAACCAAGCAGCATACGTGCGATGATGTACATCCCAACTGATAGTGCGTTAGATACATCGCCACTGTATATGTGTATGAATTGTGTACGTACTGTGCTGAGCGAAACCTTGCAACAAAGCGCCGATAACCATAATGACGGAACCAACGAAGATAGACATGCGTCTACCGTACTTTTGGCTCAACCAGGGTGCGACCGGAACTGCAAGAATGGAACCGAGCTGGTAGCATGAGGACATGAAACCGATGATCTTGGGTTCGATGCTGGCTTCGCCATCTGAGTCCTTGTAGCCTTCTCCGAAATCTGAGGCTGTCAGCCTTGTGGATCTAAAGCTGCAACAGTTTTGACTTACATGTGTTAAATGGAACGGAAAACTGAAGTGTGCCGATGAGCTGAGAGTCGAAACCAGAGGTAATCTCAACACCCATGCAGCAGCAGAAGAGCCAGATGTACATAATGCGCAGATTCGGTTTCTTCCACCATCGCACCTTGTCCTGCTCCACCATGCGGGTGATGATGGGGTCGGAAGTACCATCCTGAGCTTTGAGGAGACCCATGATGCCGGTGTTGGAAGCGCTGGAGGCTGCTGGTGTTCGAGCAGATTGGGGTTTACCCTTTATAATACGGCGTGGCCCAAGGGCGATCCACTACCCCGGCTCTTTACCCCAGATGCTCCGTAGCCTACCTAGGCTAAGGCGGAGAACACGACCGTAATACCGAACTTGCATCTTATATTGGGTAAGCGTCGCGGCGCGTTGGCTGCATACCTTGGCAGCCGGTTAAATTGGGCTTGTTCCTCCAATTATCGGGTGTTAATCATCCCGAACAAAGCTCAGAAGAGCCCGAACGAACGCCTTGCTGCTTGCAAGTGCATTTTTCGAGCCTGTGTTTAACCTGTTGGCTGGTACGTGACCTGCTCTCGTGTTGCACTTCGAAGTTGCAGTGGCACTTTTAGCGAGGCAGCGCCTAGTCGTGCTCTTCCGACGGCACGGACAGGAAATGTTGACCCGACACCGTGGATCTTGTCCTATGGCGAATTAACGGTCAATCTCGCAAGGCACAAACATATTTGGGGTCCAACTACAAATTGATGGGACGTGTGATGATTTGCTTGTCAGATCACGCCCTGGAGAGAACAGTAGTATTGCCAGGACTTGAAGATCATGTCCAGTCCTTGATACAAGCATCCAGCTTCGGCTCATGATGATCCAGAGGCGCACGCACTAAGCGCGAATATCAGGAGGATTAAGCGGTAGCGATGGCTTGAACGCGGCAAATGCTCGTGTCGTAGCTACCGAAGCGACAGGCGGGGGTTGATGCACGAGTATCACGCCCTGGGGCAGCGTCGGGGCGTCAGCATGGCAATCAAATTCGTATAGAGTCCACAACCAACTAGACCAAGCCCGTAGCTTGATGTTCTTGAAGCAATATGTCCGTGTGTGGGTACTTCATCGACGGGAAGCGCGTGGGATTGCTCCGAACATGCACGCGAGACAGATAGAGTGAGTGGGCCAGCCACCGAGTCCTTCCCGGGGTAGGTTAGCCCCAATGCACGGTAATCCTGATTCCTGGTGGGTGCTTCATCAATGTCCAACAGCACTCAGGAAGAGTCGGATGTACCGCATCCCAGCCAAGCGGTACTTAAGGTAAGAGATCTCCACAAGGCATTCCCTCTGGTTGCTGAGCATGAACGGCATCCACGGTACGCGCTTCAACTGTCGGTAAGACTTCCCGGAAACTTGACGGGTGGTAGTCGTAAATGCGGCATTGGCCAAGGGCCTACGACCAGCGCTGGCTTCGTTGCTGATTCGCATGGATGCGTGTAGGAGGGAACGATGAGTCGCGTCGGGTAGCGCACCGCTTGTTTGCAGCCGACGCATCTTTGGGAGAGGCAGCAAAAAGGAAAACGGCTTAAGTGAGGTGAGATGCGAATATCTGGAGTTGACAAAGTTCTGCAGTGGGCGTCGATTGCTCCAAGCAGGGTCGATGATCTCCAGATTGGTGGCCGCCGGCGTCGCTAAAGGTGGGGCGCTGTCTGTCGCGGTTGCCGCAGACCCGTCGTGGCAATCATCACCAAAACTGTAGCTGACATCGGCAACTAGTAGATCAGAGTCAAGAATCTCATTATTCGGGACGCTTTAAGAGCATGTATCATAAACGTGGTATCGGGGGTCCGGACGCACCGTACATAACACGAACGCCACGCTGGACATTACATTCTAACCGCGTGTACAAGAGTAAGATTAGGAAAGATATGGGTATCATGAGTTATAAGACCAACAGCTGGTCTGGACCGTATCGCGCGACAGAGAATCGTCGTTTAGACGCCGGCCATGTTCGGCGCAGGCGCGGTGTCATTCCTGGGGGAGCTGCGGATGTGCAGCGCCGCAAGCACGGTCGAAGCAACAAAGGCAACCCTGTGGTATGTCAGTACACAGTCGCGGGTGAAAATCTAGGTTGCATACCAGTTGAAAGCAGAGAAGACGATGGCAGCGACTCCGCAGCTGTAGAAAGTGCCTTGGCGGCCAGCCCACCAGTTGTTGCCCCATCGAGTGGCCACTGCAACGAAAGCGGCGAACCAGAAGATCATGGTAATGAACTCAACTCCCCCAATGGCAAACTTGTGGGCTGCAGCGGGGAAGCGAGCTGGTGCGAGGACGAGATATGCGACAGCCAGTAGGGTCCAGATGGATGTGAAGAGCATGAAGGCGACGCTCGCCGGCACCCAGGTGACGTAGGCATCGACAACTGAAGACGTGTTAGTAACGCTACGGCATCGAATGGTCCGTGTGCAACATACTGTAGGCTGTAAGACCCAGCACGATGATGCTGAAGACGACTTGTACGCCGCGCAGGCCTAGGACAAGAGCGGGTGCGACCATTTTGATAGTAGAGAGGCGCTACGGCTACGCGATGGATGGCTGCAGGGGCTACGGAGCGGGTAGGCAGATTGTGGCTGCAGATATCTTCGCTACCGAAGGTCGATGGTATTTCTTGTTTGCCGCAGTTGAGTGTAGAGAGGCTCGATGAGGCCTGCAACACAGCGGCGGCCTGGTTCTTTATGCCTCCGCACAGGCTGGCAGGCGATGATGCTGCCACGACCTTGTCCCTTCTTGATTTCCCTGAAACCGACGTCACTCGCAGTGGCGCATGATCAGGGAGCCACATGTCGCGCCGATGATTGGTCAGTCGCCGAGATCCCAGCTCTTAGTGCCGCTGGCGATGCGACGTGTTGCACAACCTTCTCGCATCTTCTCCTCTTTGTCCTGGCCTTGTCCCCCGCACTACAATCAATCTTCGCGTTCCTTCATCTCAAAACAATCTGTAACTTGACAGCTTTATTTTCGGACGCGTCGAGCGTCTTGTTTCAACACAAAGGTCCCACGCTCGGTGTTTGGGCAGCGTCGTCAAACATATGTGGCGGTGCACGGTTTCATTTTCCACAGCCTGCGACGTGACGCGGCCAAGGGTATGCCGGCAACACGGCAGATGCAGCGCCGCATCACGTATACACCGCCTACTAGACTGCTGGCTTTGTAGTTCTTCGACATTTGCAGTGCGCTGCGAGATGCACAAAAGTGCATTCCATGGCCCAACTCTTATTAATTCACCAAATCGATGCAACGAACCGGGTCAATGTCCGCCAACGAACGTACAGCGGCACATCATCACGGAGTCTTGAGGCTATGTGAAGCGTCAGCCTCTATCGAATCATGTTCGCTGACCTATAGTGGCATGAGGATACCTAGCGCAACCAACATCGCCGCGGCCCGTGATGCAACAGGTCGTCTAGCTCGAGCAACAGTTTCGCTGTTGCATTGTTGCTACAACACACCGCGAGGATATGGTCGAAGACTTCTTGTGTTGTGCATTCGTACCCTGTGACGAGTACAATGAAGTGATATGGTGTTCGCCTGAATTTACAATGCGAGACCTGTTGGACTAAAGTGCACATCCCTGGATTGACCTAGACTTTCCGACCAAAAGCCTCCGCGTGGGTACGAGCAGTGTAGAGATGTCTGACCAGGACTCAGCACCGCCGACTTCGCCTTTCATCCTCAATGACCCCGAGGAGAAAATCGCCATGGCTTCGCGTCATGATAGCATGCTTTCGGAGCAAGGCATGGAAGTCGCAGAACTGAGAGCGAGAGTCGCCGAACTTGAAAGTTCTTCGGCTCTGGCTACGAACATGCGTGACGAAGTTTCCCACGAACTCCAATTCTACAAGAACGAAGTAGCAAAGAAGAAAGATGAGATCTATGACATGACCAGTGCGTCCAATAAACAGTCCAGAGACTTCAAAGCCTTCGAGGTCAAGATGGCCAAACTGCGAGAAGACAGTGAGCAGAAGCTTCGCAAGATGGAAAAAGAAGTTATACGTGAGAAAACATCGGAGAAGCGTACCAAGGAGGACCAAGAAGCAACGCACGTCATCGCTCAGCTACAAACCGAACTCGGTGCCAAGGATACTAGGATCGACCAACTGGAAGCTCGACTATCTAACCTCAAGCCTTCTGGAAATGCGTACCGCGAAGCCCAGACTCCCCTAGCCAACTGCCGCCCAACAGATTTGCATCACGAGCACGGCTGCGTGGAGCACCAAAAGCTTATATCCCAGCAGCTTGTGGATGCTCAAGAACTACTGGCCGCCGCCGAAGCCGAAGCAGAAGGATTTCGTCATCTTGCGAAGGCTAATGCAGATCTGACTGATGGTCAGGCTACGGATTTGGAATGTATCCGGGAACTAAGACATGAGAATGAGCGATGCCACAACGAAGTTAATCATCTCAAAGAAGTCATTGGCAGATTACGCGCCGAACAGCATTTTGCTTCCAGCGAGTTCCATGACATCGATCTCGACGACACGGCAACCCAATCTCTTTCCTTTGGTCCTTTGACAAATGTCTGCATTACTCCCATCGCTCCTGAAGACAACAAAGCCGAGCTGCGTGCCCTAGAGCTGGAAGTTGAAGGCTTGACCTCAGAAAATGATAGCCTTTCGCTGGAGTGTACCGAGTTGGAGTCGAAGCTCGTGTCTGTCATATCCACACTGAAGGCTCTGGATCAGGAACAAGAAACAAGGAACAAATGTGCACTGACTCTCTCCGATCTACAAAATGTTTCGTCCTCTCCACGCACGCCAATTGTCGCAAACAAGTCAGTAATCAACCCTGACATGCTGGCTGGACTGGAGGATCTTGGTAAGTCCATTAACAACCTCAGCGACCCTCCATTCAAGGTGACCACTCCTGCTGCTAACACGCGAGCTACATCCGACCCACCCAACGTGGCCTTGACAATCAACATCAAACCAAGCAACAAGCGCAACTACTCTTTGTTCCAGCGCGTCAAAAGCGCCATGTCTTCGACTTCCAAAGTCGACATCAAAGGGCCCAAAGAGATTGCCAACCAATTTGTAGCCCTCATGGAGGATGTCGAGAAGGACCATGCAGAAAAGACCAAGCGTGTTGTCGAGCTAGACAAGGCCGTTCATCAGTATCAGGCGCATGCTGAAGCTCTGGAAGCACAGATCCGTAATCAAGCCAAGTGCTTGGATCCTGCGCATCGCACGTTGGCTGACGAGCTCTCGGCCAAAAACGAGCAGTTTGCTATGCAGGAACAGCTTTTGGCTACATTTCGGCGCAGTGATGCGACATAGGCATTGCTTTCTTCATCAAGTCGCCTTGATTGAGTAGGTAGAGAGCATTATGTAACTCTTATTTCTTGAACATATTGCCCTGAAGTGATTAATATATGAGTAATGAGATGCTAAACTCCTCGATCCGCCGTCCTGCAGATGGTAGACGACATGGACGCCCTGATAGCCCCGGTCGCTCACGCTGCGCAGCCCGCCCAATTCACTCTTATCGCGCAGTTCGCGCAATTCGCCTAAGACGCGCTTTCCGTGAAAGCGCGGAACGGTCGACACCTTTCCATAACTCACCCGATTGGGCAACTGCTCATCGAGTTCCCGGTGATGTCATGGTAGTGGAGTCCGTGCGCGCCCACGCATCTTCGACGTGATTGCTTCCACATCATCCGTCGTCACACGCGCATCACGAAGATGCTCTCTTCCAAACCCGCGCGAACACGCGTCAATACAAACTCCGCGGCTCTCCCCGAATATGTAGACGACATCACCTGACGGCAGTAGTGGCAGCGTCGCGTATTGCTGGCATGGGTCATCCGACTGGAGCCTATTTTCCTTGAAGACGGCCTACATGTCGAGAACAATGGCATCCTCATCCCCAGTTGCGATGGAAACGATCCAGTGCGCCCGGTTTTACTTCGAGTGGAAGGGCCATCCTACCGACGACCTAGCCACTTTCCGCAACATTACGCTTGCCGAACGGCCGGACAAACCAATCGTATATTTGGCTGGGGATTCGTCTCTTGACAACAAGCACTGGGTTGACAAGACTAGCCCTATCGTTCCAAGCCAGCTGCCAGGCATCTACGATAAAGCATTTAAGCACCCTTGTGTTCCGAAGCCAGATGTCGCGTTCTGGATGAACAACCTGCTCGAGCATCGTGCGGCTTGTATTAACACGGCGGTAGAAGAATCCATGCTTCGAGATCGAGACGACGTACTCCTGCCGCACGACGAGTTCATTCGCGATAATATTCGTTCGAACGACGTGTTGATCGTCAGCGTCGGCGCCAACGACATTGCTTTACGCCCGAACCCCTCCACGATACGACATATGCTACAGCTCGCCTGGCTGACGCAACGCAAAAACCTAGAGAACGGCACCGCAAGCGCACTGCAGTACTTCAAGCACATGTTCGGCACCAAAACACAAGACTACGTCGCTCGCCTTACCGCCAAAACCAAGCCTCGCGCCGTCATCGTATGCATGATATACTTCCCGCTCGAGTCGGGACTAGGACAGACCAGTTGGGCCGATGCGCAGCTCAAGGCGCTAGGCTACAACTCATACCCCGGGCAGCTACAAGCCGCCATTCAAGCGATATACGAGATGGCGACGAAAGCGATACGGATTGAGGGTACGGAGACAGTGCCTTGCGCGCTGTATGAGGTGCTCGATGGCAAGCTGGTTGATGACTATACAGCGAGGGTTGAGCCAAACGAAGCGGGCGGAAAAAAGATGGCTGTTAGGTTCGTTGAACTGTTGGACGAGATTCTGGAGAAGTCGGACATACCGGAGACTACTTGAGGCGTATGTGCGTCATATCACATTTGGTAAAGAGTATGGTCCTTCTACTGGACCCCCGGGTTGACGAATTTGAAACCCGCGATCGCGATCGGTCTTCTTTCAGAACTGCAGGATGGGTGCATTCCTTGCCTCTTTGTTCAGCTAGCGTCTTTGTGAACCTTTCGCCTTTGTCTATTACGCTGCACCTTTGTTTCGCGCGAACTCGATATGTTCGCTCAATATCCTGTAGATGATCGGACTTTGAAGACACACTGTTTCACCTCTGCTAGTCTTGAAGCAAAACCGACAATCATGGAGAGATACACCTTTGCACGACGTGCGCTCAGCGCGATGCCTACTACACCCGACGATGTTGTCTTTCTTGCAGCGGTCTTTGTTGCATTCGGTTCCGGAGCCTTACTTCTTCACTGGATTCGCCGTGTTCGTGACATTGGATTGCAGAAGCAGTGGCACGATGCGCAGATGAAGACCTTGCAGGAAGGGTTCGCTACTTTTGAACAGTTACCGCAGCAGTTGAACGCTATCAACACCAGTATCGGCGAGCTTCGCGAGAAGGCAGATGGAGCCACCGATCGATTCAATACTATTAGCGACCGTATTAACGATCTCAGCCAACATGTTGATCATCTCCAAACCATTGGCGCTGGTACTCACGATGTCAAGAGACCCTCGACTGTGCAGGCAACAACGGATGTAAGCTCGGC